GTGGGACTCCATATACACATATAGTCTACACAATAACTTCATGTTATTTAAATTTGTCTTTGCATATATTACTTTACAGGACATTACTTACTGCACTTTATTATCTCTTCTTTAGAAGGTGGACAGAGTTGTTGCTCGTGGTGTAAGGCAGAAGCTGGAGGTGAGGATGAGGCAGCTGGTGGTGATGGTGATGATGATGAGCTTGATGTAGGGCTTGAACAATCCAGTCTTGGTATTTTTTTTGGTGGCTCTTCGGAAGTGTTGGTGGTGAGGATTTTGTGTGGTACTTTGGGGTTTTGTTTTAGGAATGGTTTTAGATGGTCTATACTTACTTTAAAATAAGCAGTACCATTCTCATCCACTAAATCTGCACTTTTTTTTTCAATGTGGGTGATAGTATAAGGACCCAACCAGCTTCTCTCCAGTTTTCCACCCATTCTTTGTTGTGTCCTAAGGTTTTTTCCTGAGGACAGTCTGGCCAACTGCAGAAGGTGCTTTTTTGGACACTTTTTGCCACTTTTCCTGCTTTTTTCTTACATTTTCTTTGCCAGTGGAATCGATCTTTTCTTTTATGGCTACTCCACTTGATACGACGCACTGAGCTATGACCTCCTCCACTGAAGCATCCACATTTAAAATGAAGGGAAAACAAAAACATCAATAAGTTTATGTGTTCAGGATAAGTTGGCTGACATATTAGTGATACATACCTCATAGTGCTCAGGGCCCTCAGGGATAGCGGGCCTCCATGCCAAACATCAAAAAAAAAAAAAAAGGTGAAAACTTTGTTGTTAAATGTGGTCGGCTTCTAAGCCCAAACATCACTGCATCCAGAAATTTGTCCCATGTTTGGGGCTTGTTGGCAACCAACTTGCACAGGGTTCTGGAGGTAAAAATGCATCAATAGTCATTAGTCTAGTCCTAAATTTTTAGCCCAACTAAACATGGGTGTGGAATTAGAAAATGTCTTAATGGATTCACCTTTGAATTGTTCCATTTAAGTGTTCCACCAGGCCATTTGTCTGGGGGTGGTAAGGAGCACAAAGGCTCCTCTCCACATTCAGAAACTGACAGATGTTATGGTTAAGCAGTTTCAGAACCATTTTTAAAAGCCACGTATTAATAGCACATTCTTCAAACTAAGTGTTTGAGGCAATAGGCTATCAACGCCTTATCAAAATGCAAACTTACTTCATTGACAAATTCTGTACCCTGGTCCATCAGTTTTCTCTTGGGAGCTCCAAACCTGTAGAAAAACCTGATAACGCACTGTGTTACAGTTTCAGCATTTTTGTTAGGTATGGGGTATGCCTCTGCCCATTTTGTGTAGTAGTCCACCATGACCCACATATACTGAGTCCCACTTTCAGTCATGGTGAGCTTCCCCACCAAGTCCATGCCAATTAGTTCCATTGGTTGGTCCACCTAAAATAGACACATAGACACAGTTTGCTGCCAGTGATCTGATCAGTGATTTGAACTGCAATGTGAATATAACGCTACACACATATGGGGATGTAATCCAGTTCCTGCTTTAGAGACAGCCTGCTATACTGACACACAGGACATTCAGAAACCTGGTATTTCAGAAGCAGACATAATCATGTTAAATGAACATGCCTACTACTAATAGGCCCACTTTAAATAATTTTATGAGTAAATGCAGTCCTACCCATTTATCAATGTCTATCCCCATTCCCCATTCCAGAAAAAAAACTGGCAGAAATGGAGCCTCTAGTTTTTTGTTAGCCGAAGTGCCCTCCTTGGGGACTATCCTGAAATTCCTTGAAAATCTTGTTCGCCTCCTCCCAGCCCACAACAACTTTTCTTTTCTCTTCCATATCCTTCTTAGAGTATGACACGTAGTACAAAGTGTCGGCTGTTAAGCTATAAACAAACATGCATATTGAGTCATAAATACAGTGACGTAGCCTGACGTGCTTCCACTTAACTCTTATGTTGTGAATATAGTCTAGGCTGCTGGATGACAGTCTGGGTTATGGATAGCAACCACACAATTATATGCTTCTCAAGACTGTCTTTAGAGATAAATAGGCTAGAAGAGATGTTTTTGTTGTTTACCATCAATACAATATTTTGCACATCTTCGGATGCAATATTTTTGCTCCTTGGTAATCCCAACAGGATAGGTCCCATATTTTTGTAATTCAGAATTTCTTCATAATATTTTTTCTCCATTTTGTAAACAGTCATGCATTCGGTCTGAACGTGACCAAACGCTTTGCCCTCGCCAACTTTTATTAACTTGGTGCACTGACTTGGTTAGGCCAACCCTGCCCCTGAAACACCAAATTACCACCACCACCGTTGTGTCAAGACTAAGCTTCGTATTTTACTTAAATCACATGTGATTTATTTTCAAAATCCATCAATCAAGGCCCCAAACACAAACAACATAAATACAATGAAAACCCATTGAGAAATTGAAATGGGACTATGCTTTAGTGGGTCAGATTTGTTAAAGGGATAGTTCGGATTTTTTTACATAAATCTGTATGTCATCCCCGTCATCAGTGTTGTGCATCCACACCGACTTACCCCCGAAAGCCAGGTGACAGCCGCGCACGGATCCATCACTTTCTTCAGTTGTTCGGCAGTGTTTACATGCGCAGACCGCCGCCACGCGAGAGAGCTAACGAGAGAGCTAGAGCCATAAGTATATGAGCCCGGTTCACTTTGTTTACTGCTCCGAATGTTAGCGACAACATGTCTGATTATGACACTGACAATAAAGACTTTGCCTTTACCACAAACCCAAGGGGAGATCTTTGTGAACCCGATTATACTGATGCCGAATTTCACCAGATGGAGTTAGAACGGGCAGAGAGAGAGAGAAAAGACAGAGAAGTGGTACAAGTTGACGCTGGAGCCGTGAGAGACCGAGTGAGCGACAATCACCCATCACGTCATTTATAAACTCGTATACAGCGAACATAGAGCCGACACTGTGACTGAAGCATGGACGACTAATAGAAACATAGAATCATTCACACGTCCATGTAGCTGCTGCCAATAGTGTACGTGACATTTACAATAGTAATAACAGTCGACTTATAAAGTTACGTTTTGTAGAAGCTTCACTGGTGATATGACACTGAGTGATTTACTGCACACAGAGTTACAGCTGATTCTTGAACCTGCTCTCTTGTAAATGTAGCGGCACTTCTTTATTCTTACCTGGTTTGGTTTCCACATTGAAGCCAAAGTTTCCTCAGCGCAAAGTCCGTGACAGGAAAACAGTGAAATGTGCGTGGAGATTCAGCCAGATTTTTGTTGTTACAGCCTGGATAATCAAGAGTTCGCACCATTTTTTAGATATATTCATATGTATCTTATACAAGCTCATATACTTATGGCTCTAGCTCTCTCGTTAGCTCTCTCGCGTGGCGGCGGTCTGCGCATGTAAACACTGCCGAACAACTGAAGAAAGTGATGGATCCGTGCGCGGCTGTCACCTGGCTTTCGGGGGTAAGTCGGTGTGGATGCACAACACTGATGACGGGGATGCCATACAGATTTATGTCAAAAAATCCCTTTAATGTTTGCAAAACCAACACTAATTTGACCCTCATGGTTTTCCGTAGAGCCAGTCGTGCTGTGATGCTTCTGTGGGCAGAGTTTGTCAACATTGGTTTTCAAGGGGGAACTGGAATAATGATCGGGGAACATTAAAACCCAAAAACATGCTACATAGGTCTCCAAGAACAGTTGATAGTCAAGGTCAGTTAAATATAATCAATCAGTGAATCTGTCCAGGGACGACAGGTAAAAATTAGCACTGATACTACAACCTGATGTACAATGCATCTCTCCTGTTAAGGTTAATGCAAAAATTGTGTGCTGCCCCTGTCTCAGATAAATAAATAAAAAATAATTAAAATAAATTTGGTGTTTCACCGGCGCAGAGCTCTGCCTCGGGGTTTGTACATAATTGCCCGTACGAAAATCCAGGTGCTGAACAGTTATTTATCATGGCAAGCTGACTTTCACTGTTAATAACCAAATCCACTGTCACATTGGGAGTTTTTTTTTTTATTAATACAACCAAACATCTGACTTTGTTAGTACTTGTGTTTACCAAGTGTAGTGTTGGTCTCATCTTTTATATATCTGAATGTTGAACTTCTATATATCTGAATGAGTGAACCCCGAGCCCTGTTCTCTCTCTCTCTCAAAACCAAGATGATCAGTCCTGGTTTAGTCCTGGTTCAGTCCTGGTTTAGTTCTGGTTCAGTTTGTATGCAGTGCAAAAGTCCGACAATATACACAGATTTCTATCCTATGCACACCAATATTTCTGAAAGATTGCTTACTCCATATTTCTTACTCCATACTAATAAAATAAGTAAATTTACCCTATCTGTTAGAATTGGAGCGCACTTGTTGCACAGGCACCATCAACTGTGACCAGCTCTCTCTTCCTCACCTCTTTGATCGTCTTCATGTTCATCATTATTGTCCACCGAGTTGTCCTCCAAACTTGATGTGCGCTCTGGTTCAAACTGAAAAGGCTGAACAGAAGACGTGCTCATCTTGTCGAGACTCTTCATCAACAAAAACGGCGAATCCGTACAACCTTGTGACGAGGTTACCCAGAATGCTTTGCGACGTAAACAAATATGGCGGATTACTAGTGATCGTATTTTCTCCTTTTTATATAAAAAATACTACAAACATATCTGAGATTTTTGGTATTATGTATTATGTATGTGACCATATCCCAAATATTTTTTTCTCTTTTATGCTTTTATTCTTGTTTTAACACCCTGAGAGTTGTGGGATCCTCTGTGTCTTTTTATTTATTTTTATGTTTTTTACCTTTTTATTATTTATTGGTATTCTTGCTCTTATTTGGTTTGACCAGTTTTATTGTCTTAAAATCTTAATCTAATCCCAAAATTTCTCAAAAAAATGTGCAATTCAATGTATTCTTCAGAATGCATTCCCATGTATCTGTTTCCGTCCTGTTTTTGTCGCAGATGTGAAAGCACGGTGCACTTACAGAGACATCCGGACGGGTACTGCCTGATCCTGCCTCCGAACCTCAAGTCGGCCATCGCTGCTGTCACCTACATGGCCGAACAGCTCAAGAAACAGGACACAGATGACACGGTTAGTCCGCCACACTGCCCCCACTGGTCTGGGAGGGTTGGGTTTTTAATTAATAAATAATCATACCGTAGTTTTTGGACTATAAAGGCACATCCGGATTATAAGGCACATTAAGTGAAACAAACAGACACTTGAGACTGATCCTTAGCCCAGGCGTCCATGATCCATTGGCAGATTGTGGCGTAACTCACCTCGCGTTGCCTCCCTGTGTTGGTGAGTGTGGATTATGAATGTGAATCCGTGGATCATTTAAGTTTTTTTTTTTCCTAGGAGGAGGACTCAAATATACATTGAGTAATAATGTGTTTAATGCAGCTTTGTGCCCAAACTTAAAACCACGTGGCTCATTTGCATAATCTATAAGCGCTGAAAAAAAAGCTCGCTCCTTGTGCTGCTGATGCGGTTCAGCGTCTGTCGGACTAAAGGACACGACTCAGTGAAATATGTGTGTTTTCTCTGTGACAAAGGCAACAGTGTACATTGAGTCGACACAGAACTATACTTCACCTTTTACTCTGCAAGGCTTCTGACTATGGTAGTTGTAATGCTCCAAAAATCCATCCAATGCGGCTTCATAGTTTACCAAAGTCATACTTAAAACATTTTCACATTTTTTTGAGCACCGTGTACCACATAAAATAAGTTCTAGGTCAGTAAGTACAACTAGAATTAATACATAAGGCGCTCTCTCGAATTCTGAAAAAAAAAAAAAAAAGGATTTCAAGTGTGCCTTATAGTCCAAAAAATACGATAATTCCAACTAGATTTGACTGTAAACTGCTGGAAAAGTTCCACTGTATGGCATTAAACTCATTTTGAATCCATTCAGTTTTTATTGCCAAAAACTACCTTGAAAAACAAGGTAGTTCCACAGTCTTACTGTGGAAGGGGTCGTCTCTGCACAGATCCGACTAGTAACTTAGCTAGTGTTTGGAGTAAGGCGTTATTAAATGTAACAAATTATTGTAATGCATTGCTTTTTGCTGTAATGCAGTAATGTGGCATTACAGGGAAAAAATATATATATATATATTTTACTCGATACAAATGTGACTGGATTGAAGTGGTGGGTTTTTCTTCATATAAATTCGCTAAAATCACAGCAAGATGAGCAGCAGTGAAACACCAGAGATGCGCCCACATAGACCATCAGGTGACTGCGAGCAAAAGAACCTGAGCAGAACTCCACGCTATTTAGACCTGGTTCAGTCCTGGTTCAGTCCTGGTTTAGTCCATATACGGCACACAAGTTCAGCATCTTCAGTTATTTTGGTGAGAGTAACTTAAAAGTGCTGTAATAATAATATAATGTCTTACATTTTAAATGCAGTAATGTAACTAATTACTTTGAAATGAGAGTAACAAGTCATAAATAATGTATTACAGTTTAAAAGTAACTTGCCCAACAGTGAACTTAGCCTGGTGTTGTCATTTACTTGTCTCCAAAGAGACAGACAAGTTGATCATGATAGTGTGAAATATTGTTGGTAAAGCCGTAAAGGCTTTAGACAAGGAGACAAGGAGGTGGTGAACCATCAGAAAAGTTACACAGTTCATGTAGTCTTCTGATACTTTATTCTAACAAATTATTTTTTTTCAGACCAAGGATTAGTTTGTTTTCATACCTAACAGTTTGGTCACGTGATCAGTTTGGTCACGTGATCATTTACACAGTGCTGTATTCCAACTGGTGGAGGCAGGACGACTGCGCCCTCTGCAGTCTGTACAGTGCACGCAGTCACAGTTTAGTACACGAAAAAAGGAACATAAGACAAAACACAAAGGCAACAAAACACAAAGCAGAACAAGAGCCACTTAAACCATTTCTTTCAAGAAAGTAGTACTATTTAATGGTGAAAATCATATTGTATTGTCTAAAGAAAGTGTTTTCTTTATTAACATAGTGATATTGGAATTGGTCTTGAGCATCAAGTTTCCTTAGATTTTGACTTAGATAAACTTTATTAATCCACAGGAGCTCAGACATCACAATATAATATAAAGTAAAATTATTAATGGTAATAATAAATTCTAAATAAGTAGCAAAAAATATGGCAAGAGACAGGTGTCAAATAAAACATTATTATATAAATGTATACAGTATGTACAAGTCAAAATAAAATAGAAAAATAAGTAATAAAATATCAAATCTCATCTTCAGGAGTTTATGGGTTAGTAAAAAAATAAAGTTTTATTATCAGGACAACACTACAAACGACATCGAACATTATTGCTGGATTAAGGAGACACGTCTGTGACTGGCAGATGTTTGAGTCTTTGTAACATGTTTGTCTGTGATTGGCAGATGACGGGTGATTGGCAGTTCATCGCTCTGGTAGTGGACCGCCTCTTCCTGTGGCTCTTCTGTATCATCACCACACTGGGCACTCTGGCCATGTTCCTGGACGCCAGCTTCAACTACACTCCAGACCAGGCCTTCCCATAGACTCTGCCCGGCCCCTCTCCACCATGTACGCTTATGTGTTTTGTATTTAAATGGGATCAGGCTGCACATTGGGCATTTTACTGGAATGTTTAGCTTCTATGAGAATTCTATTAATTTTTATTATATTCACGTGTTTTATATTTGAGGTAGTTTAAAGACAGGGTATTATACAAATGGATTTTTGGAGCTTTCTACTATAGTATAATGTATTTTTTGGACTATAAGTCACTCTGGAGTATAAGTCGCACCAGCCAAAAAATGTGTAATGAAGAAAAAAACAAATATAAGTTGCATTTTTGGGGGGGAAATTTATATTACAAAATCAGAGACAAGAAACCAGCATTTCATGCTGAAAGTCAAGTTCTAGTAAAAACAATAGAAGAGAGAACAACAGACTGTTAACGTCACATATGAACAGTTCTTCAGATAAACTATAACATAAACAACAGAACAGAACAAGTTTACCAAACTCTCCATCTCACTCCAAATCACTGAAATCCATTCAATTCTTCATCCTCTGTGTCACTTCTGAACAACTCGGCCTCGACCTCCGGAGGTAAACAGAGCACCGCTTCCTCTTCTGTGTCGCTGTCGTCAGACTCAGCATCAGTTCTAGTTAGAATTATTCCGACCTTTCTGAATCCCGACAGGATGGTTTCAGTGTCACTGAAGTTCAGGCTTTGTCCATCCATCCAGTGACTTCAGGAAAGTTTCATGATACACTCTCTTGGTTACCGTGAAGCTGTGTTCTCCATCCCCGCCTTTTGTCAGTCCCTCACATGTTTCTCTCTCACTCCAAACTTTCTTTCTGCTGCTCAATTACCATTTTCAGCTGGAGATTTCTTGCAGTTTGTAATCGCAAAATATGAGGGTTTTTTTGGGAGCATTTGTGTTCAGTCTTCTCAGTCGTCTTTATAAGTCTGTTTAAATGTTAAATTGTTCAGTGGTGCAGAAGTAATGGTGCGATCGACTGACATGATACAGAAAGAACAGAGGCTCTTTCTGCAGGAGACATGTGCAGTAGAGTGAAGTGAGAGTGGTGCAGGAAGAACAGGAGCAGCAGATACTCACACACAAGACTAGGGCGTCTCTCAGCTTCAGTGTGAACATTTTAATATATAAGTCACACCGGAGTTTAAGTCACAGGAAACACCCAAACCATGAAAAAAGTGCAACGTATAGTCTGAAAAATACAGTAATCATCACAAAACCTGCCTGAAGAGGTTTTAGATGTCATCCATGCATGTTTGAGTAATTTAGCGATCTCTCCCAAACTGTATTCAAAGCTATAAGCTATAGCTTATAGCTGTAAGATTCTTCTTCTCCAGTGCTCCGATCACAAGCCTACATCACCCACGCTGCTGCACAATTATACTCCGTAAATATACAAAAGTATGATACAAAATTGCACATTACACCGTCACAAACCTGATACAATGTACAGTGGTTTCATTAGTGGGATGCACGCTGATTGTGTTGTGATCACACTTTGAAGGGGGAGTGCCGTAGCGTGGGAGCAAGGGGCCAGGGGACTCAGAGCTTCAAAAACTAAGGCGACGTTCAGACTGCAGGGCTTAATGCCCAATTCAATTTTTTTTTGTGAAATCTGATGTTTTTGCGAGGTCATTCACATTTCCAATTAAATGCGACTTGTATGTGACTTCAGTGTGAACGGTAAACGGCCCAAAAGTGTCCCGCATGCGTACTGGAGACACGATGACGTCAACCCCATGCGTCAACCGCAGCGAGCGTGCTCTGTGTTTAGTTGTCCAAACATGGTCGCGAGCATTGAGCACCTGGCGATTTTACAGTTCCGGTTTCCGCCTGCTTCAGCGCAGAATAGTGACGTTTGTCACTTGTTAATGACGTGTAGGTCGGATGGATGCGCTTTGGCTGTTCAGACTGAAGTCGCATGTCAAAAGATCGGATATGTATCGGATTCAGGAGCACATATCCAAGTGGCCTGGGTCGCATTTGAAAAAATCTGATCTGTGTCGTTCAGACTGTCATTAAAAGATCGGATACAGGAACATAGAGGCCAAAAAATCGGATTTGGGTCACTTCAGGCTGCAGTCTGAACGCAGCCTAAAAGTGTTGTTTTTTGGGGAATACAGCACTTTTAAAGCAATAAAAGGTAACCTGGTCATGTAAATATGTGACGTGTTACAGTTAATAACCCACAGAAGTGTAATACTCCCTCTTTAAGAATTCCACTGCAGATGGAGTCAGGATGTAGATGTTTTGATTTGGTTTATAGATGATACTGTATCTCTCTCTAGTTGTCAGGCTTTTCCACATGGAACTGAAATGTCTTCTCTGTCTGCACAAAGGAAACAGGTCCAACTATGTTGACGTGGTGTATTTGTTTAATCGCACTTATATAACTGTATGGAATTATAAAAAGCAACACAACTGGAATATCTTTTTTTTTTTTTTTTTTTTGGTACATCACTAAAGTTCTGTTTTCCTCCAAATTAGAGCTTGGAACTAGCAGACTTTGCTTTGGGAACATGGGGACAATCGAGTATGCCAGCTTTAAAGAAATTGTACGTAAGATTTAGATTTTTTTTTTAACAATACATAAAAATGACCTTTATGAACACAAATGTATCTAACATTATAATATAAACAAGACACTGGACATTTAGAAAGGGCATAACATAAATTCAAGTTGTTTTTTTTTTTTTTTTTTTCAGGTTTTGGTTTCTTTTAATATATATCTATTCATTTCATTAGACACATTCAATGTCCATTTAGTTATATATATACATATATATAGTATGTTTTAGTATGTGTGTATATATATATATATATATATATATATATATATATATATACAAATACATACATACATATATGCACGCATACAGTATATACACTGCTGATCAAAAGTTTTAGAACATCCTCATTTTTCCAGTTATTTGTTGCAATTCAAGTCGTGCAAGTCCAATGAGTCGTTTGAAATGGTACAACTGTAAAAACTGAACAAACAGAGGTTAAAAAAAAGATGAAAGATACAAACACAAGTCCAAGCTCTGCCAAAACCACCTCAGGAAAAAAGAACAAGACGACAAAACTTGAAAACGTGGAGTGTCCAGCAGCAGCACAGTGTCCAGACTTAAACCCCATGGAGCTGGTTTGGGATGAACTGGATGAAGAGTGAAGCAACCTACAAGTGCCACACATTTATGGAAACTTCTGCAACAGACTTGGGAAGAACTTTCTGAACAATATTTGATTTCTGTTGTAAAAAGTAGGCCACGAGTGTGTTCAGCTGTTCTATCTGACAAAGGTGGACACACCCATCAATCAAAAGTTTAGAATATGTTTTGGTCAACAGTAAACAGTAAAAAAACAGAAAAAGTGGTGTTCTAAAACTTTTGACCGGTAGCGTACACACACACACACACACACACACACATCTACATTTTATACTCATGTACATATATGTTTATATCAATACCCCCCAGCATACCCACAAATGTGGACACATGCACGCACCCATCCATATACTGTATGTCAGGAATCTCTAACCTTTTTCCTCCGGTGAGCTACTTTTACAAAAAGAAATGTAGCATTTAGAAGAGCCACGGCGAGCCTTAGATCAGGTACAGTTAAATGCCTATAAAACATAAACCATTATCCATTTATTAGTGAACAAAATTAGGCATCAAAAGTCATTTAACTAAACAGATTTTAATTATTCAGCACAATATGTCTAATTTAGAAATGCTTTGGTGAGCTACTTGGGGGGTGGAGAGCTAAAGGATGTAGTCCATGCATGTGTACACCCAAGTTTCCGTTTCAGTTCAAATCCATATACTTTTTTTTTTTTTTCTTAATCTCTTCCCCCCATTGGATTAAGATTTTGGTTTTAAATTCTATAAACATGACCTGTCTGTCCCCACATGTGAACTAAACATGTTCAAATCAAATCGAGCTTTTACTGATGATAGTCGTAGTGCTGATTTATGGTTAACTGCAAAAACAGTGACCAGTTTCAAAACTGAAATCCAGTGTGTTTAAACCTAAAGTGTCTCTCTCTGAACTGAATGGTCTCTACCTGAACTCCAGCACCTGCACCAGTCCTGAGTCAGTGCTAGTGCAGCCTCTGCAGCTCAGGGAGGGAATTCTGAAGGTTCTGAGCTTCACATGGGGCCTGAACATAAACTGAGAATGAGACAAACTTTCTATCTGCAGGTGAAGACTCTTGTAGTAAGAGCACAGACCATATACAGTTTCTTTAAAGGGCCCATCTCATGTAAAATAACTCTTTTCACATTGTATCTTCTGCACATAAACAAGCACAATTAGAGTTTTGGAACATCCATTACACAATAGCGAAGCGCCTTCTGCTACGTCACAATGTGTCATAGGTGTATGTGCCGTGTCATCGTTGTAGCAGCTTTAGTTCGTTGTCACGTGGGAGGGTGGCAGAAATATGCTGCAATTTGTTTAATTAAAAAAATGCCGAATCAATCTAAAAAACACTTTGGCGACAAATACAAGGTCCACACATCACTCTTAGAAGGTACAAAGCTCTGAAAAGTTGATTTTGCATGAGATGGGCCCTTTAAGCCACATGTTGAATACATATGAAGTATATTTCTAATACTATGGTCAGGTATTTACGTGTGTGTCTGGAGCTCACCCCACCAGCCCTGGGCCTCAAATGGAAGTGCAGAATTTGAATCGACCTATTCACAAAAAATAAACCATAAACATTTAGTTTTGTCTTGTCTGTGGGTAAGATTTGAAGTGTTCTGGTTGGATGTTTCTCTTCTGTGCCTCGGTGCTTCTTCAGACAGATTCAACGTTCCACATCTGAACTATTCCGTATTCCTTTGTATTTGTGCTTCTTAATGTATTTATGTATAATGTTACATAAGGGAATTGTGTTGAAATAAAACGTCTTTTGACATGTCAAGTATGGCTCAGACATTTTTGACTTGTTTTCCATCATTTGCAGTTGCATTGTACCAGCATGACCCTGCAAGTGT